CCCCCGCCCTGCCAAGTCCACCCTGTGCGTGTGCTGGATGCTGCCTGCACCGGGCAGACGGGCCAGACCGCCGCAAGCGCCCCGCCAGCCCGCAGAGGCAGAAGAGCGATGCAAAAGGCACCCCGTGCACGCGTACTGCCTCGCTGAGCCGTGGTGCACCGGGACGCTCTGACCTTATCATGCAGTCGGTCTTACCATGCAAATGTCGACAACGGCCGAGTGCTAGCGGGGCAGTTCCCGTGGGAGGCGCGCGAGGCGGGGAGGCCCCGCGCGGCCCGGGCGTGCATGAATAACAAAGCAGGGGCAGGGAGCGGGGTACGAACGTGGGCCCGGAGGAGTGGTGGAAAGCGCTGGTGGTGCTGTGGGAGCCCGAGGAGCCTACAGATGCACTGAGAGATTTGCATAATGCGGAGAAGGGGGATTGCTCATGGTCCAGGCAGAGGCAGACAAGAAACGACCGGCTTCATGCGCTGCAAAACTGGAGGTAGGAGGGACGGCGTGCTAACAGCAAGGATCCAGCTCAGCGCACGGAGATGCCCGCGGGCGGCGCAGGCAGATGCATGGGGAGGCGGAAGAGGCAGGTTTGCATCCACTCAGCACCGGGCACAGTCTGGCCTTAAGGACTTCTCTCTTCCCACAGGCACCAGCAGAGCTGGAGTATCGGGACTTAACAGAAGGGCTTTAAAGTGCGTTGTGTGCCAAATCCCAACCCTCTAGCCCCCATTTTGGCTCCCGGGCCGGGAGCTGCCATCTCTGAGTTTTAGCCAGACTGATGCTTTCCCACCCACCGCCGGTTTCTCGAACCTTCTGTCTGAAGCCCTCGGAGACTGTTTTGGGAGATGGATCCCAGATTGAGGCAGAGCAGAGTTACAGCAGCATAACCGGGGTGCCTCTCCGGCGCTGCAGCCGGGCTGGAGAGCGGCTCTTTGATCCCAGGACATCCGCAGCAAGGACAGAGCAGCGAGCCCGGCCCCGAGAAGCAGCAGCAACCCCGAGGCAGC